CTGTTAATATTAATGAATTTATTGTGAGTTGAATCGATTTGTCACTGTAATAAGTAACGCCATCATAAGTTATAATCTACATAAAATGATTAATGTAGGGCGTGTAAAAGACTTAGTGGTTATTTCGTGATACATACGTGTAGTGGAATAGTAAAGCATGTTTGTATTATTAAAGCACATTTGCATTATTTGTAAATTTTTCATGAGCCGTACATACCCCCTTTCCCCCTATGAGTAGCCATATATCCCACCCCCATGAGATATGCGGCAAAAATACAAGGTTTCAAAAAGTTTATTTTTTAATATGAAAAATAAATATTTCGGATTTCTAATATTTTTTTCATAGTAGTAGACAGTACAGTTTTTACTGATATAGTTCGTTTACTATAAACATAGTAAATAATACTTAATAAATTAAGTTTTTGATAGGTGCGGCGTATATACCGGAGTTACCCTATCTGAACCAATGAATGCTGAAAGAAGACGAATTAAATTTTATTTGAAAATAAGTTTTTCTTTCCATTGATCTTGAAAGGTAGGTACGCTTTTAGTGCAAATAGGACCTTTGTCTCAGGATTTTAAGAGCCTAAAATAGACGTTGAAAATAAACAATGAGTGCAGAAAGGACACAAATCCAAGACTCATAAAAGATTTGAAAAAAAATGTAATATTACATCTCGTTAGAATGTGAAAGCTTATTATTTGATGAGATTTTCAGCTAAACGACTAAACCAGAAGAGATATTTTAATAGTTAGTGTATTAACTCTCTAGTGTTTTCGAATTTATATTATGTAAATTGTCTCATATTGTTCAACATAATTTAAGATAAATAAAGTATATGTATGAAGTATACTATAAAGTTTATTTTTTTTTAGTATAGAAGGGATAAGAATTCCAAATTGAAGTTTTTCATCTAATAGGTAAGCATTTTAGGAATTAGGAATGCTTTAAAAATATTATTAAATGTTATATTTAAATTCTTAAAAGTAATTTTGTTAGTTTTTTCACTAAAACTAAAATTAAGTAGTTTGTTGTTAACACTGAAAAATTTAATAATGAATAAATGACTCGTATCCTTTTTGCACTCATCGATTCATTTTAAAACTTCATGACAAAAAGAGAATGAGAGAGAGAGAGAGAGAAAGAGAGAGCTTTAATAGTAAATTCTGAGATTTTTCTGGTTTCTGAAGTTACAGACACGTGTAAAGTTCGAGGTCACGCATAGCGGATCGCGTGCCGAACAATAATATCACTGTTACGGTCGGGAAGTATCACGTGTTAGCAGCAAATCGGATTTTCGGTTTTTCGAACTCTTCTGTATCAGTGAAGCGGAGTTATTCTTAGATATTTATTGATCTGTGAGAACATTAAGTACTCCAGAGCTTTTAAGCCTTCAATAAATTGGCGAATATTAAAAAGAAATATATCACTGATATTATCTATATGAACCATATATTTTTTTAGTTAAATTTTTTAAATTTCTATTTGAAATTGATATCTTTTCTACATATGTACCTTTATATATCTTTGATTAAATCACCGGTAGCAATTACATTTTTCAGTATAAATCATGATTATTCAACGAGTAATAATTGATTCAATATATTTACATTTTATATGTAATATACAGGGTGTTTCCAAATTAAATGGCAAAACTTCGGGAGCGTGTAGAGGAGTAAAAAACTAAGAAAAAAAGTCCTATAGACATATGCTCCTTTTTGCTTTGTTTCGCAGGAAATCACGAAAAAAGAAAAAAATATATTTAATTTATTATTTTAATTATTTTATTTATAAACTTTTTAATGAAGATTTTGTTCGAAATGTGCACCTCTTGCAG